AAAACTGGTGGCGTGAAGGGTTTTTTCTGAATTAAACAACAGTTTTTATGACCCGGACTAATAAAAATCTCTCTTAGCAAAGTTTTATCAAGTGTCAATGAAAAATAAATATTAGAAGTATTAATATACTTTAGATGAGACATGTCCACTTCGTCCGCATTCATACAGATGTTTTGAAATTCTCTAAGTACATCAGCAAGTGTGCATTCAACTTCCTGACGGGTGATAGGTCTAATTAAAAGCTTCACTACATGTAGCTAATTTAAAACGTCCTTCTTACGTTCTTAAGCTATTTATATTATTTTGCTGCTAAATAACATAATTGGCAGTTCTTAAATTTTAATAAAAAATTCGGTAATCGCTTTTCATACTTTTTTAACTGTTTCTGCTTTATGCATCTACTGATTTATGATTCATCTCTGTTTGAAAATAAGATGAATAAAGCATTACGATACAGGTTTATTTATAATATTAAATAAAACTTAAATTACAATGAAAAAATAAATAAAAACTATTCCATTGAAATAAAGTTTTTCTTATAATTAAAAGTTTCCATTCCATTAGAATATTTGTAGATTATAGAGTAAAGAACTTAATTATATTATACATAATTAATATATAGTTATTTACGTTTTTACACCTTATAAAAAATTTAATTATATTCATTAAAATTTCTTTATAAATGAACTTATATGGTATAAATATATATTATAACACCTTTATTAAACTCCTATTTACAGTAATGAATTTTATATTGGAAATAAGCAGAAATACATATCTTTAATATTTAATTATTCACTTTTTACTTTATAAACAACTTAATTAAATTAAATATACTCCTATATTAGTATAACTTCCTGGTTAATATAGTAATCATATAACAAGAATATATTTTGAGAACTGATTAAAGGGACCCTATAAATACTGCAAGGCTTACTGCAGCTCTCTCGTCACTTAGAAAAATTACTCATTGTAGAAATTATAGAAACTTACAGGAAAAAGAAATTATTAAGTATTACCTCTACGTATGCTAGATTCTAGCTTCCAGAAGAAATAGATTTCTTGGGAAGTAGTTTTTTAATGGTCTGTCGAAAAACTATCGAGAAGAAAGCACGAAAAATTTAATAAATTATATAATTCAACGAGATGGATTTACTTTTTGTCTTTTTATATCTTAAGATTCTCATTCCTAGCTTAGTGGTAGCAAAATGTAGAAAAATCGCTTATGGAGGTCAGCGGGAAGTTATTTGCACTGCCGCTACTGCAACCAGTCTATACTATAAACATTTTAATTAAATATTTGCTTATACTGACGTGATGTAAGGATAGTAGAAATATTTCCTTCATAATAGTAGTTCCCAACCGATGGTCCGTGAGATGGTTAAAAATAGTCCGTGAAGCAAATTTAATAGGTATGGATACATAGTTTATGCACTGAGACTTCACTTATTACAAAATAAGCACAAAATATTTGCAAATAATTATATACCTATTTTATAGCCTATATAATGTACCAGCACTAATATAATTCATTATACATTATACCAGAAATAAGCATACAGAAGAAATAGATTGTTAGAAAGATGATTCTTTGACAGTCTGTCAGGCTGTTTATCAGTGAACACAAGAGACCTATTAAATTATCCAAATTCGACAGGATGAATATAGTCTTTACTATCCAATTTATTATCCAATGACCTGTTACTACAACCAACCAATCATACCAGAGATGCATAAAGTATATTAAAAAAATCATAATATTATTATTATTCGTAAACTTTGTGGTCTCTGTTAAAAACAATAATATCGTTGTGGTCTTTGGTCAAAACAAATGTTGGAAACCACTGCTTTATAACCAAATATAATGTTTCTTTAGATATTAAAAACTTTTTCATCTATAATTAATTTTTATTTCACGACTTATTTATTTCTAGAAATCATTCAGTTCATAATCGATAACTGAAAATCTTATTTAAGTTGACTTGCCTTGTGAATAGTTGATATTCACCAATACAAGAAAAACCTTAAAAACTCTGTATAAACAAAACAAAAGGCACTAACAACTAACCAACTCACAACAACAACAACAAGAACAACAAGAAAACAAAATAATCATAATGACACACAAAATACGATGATACCAACGCCTTCAACAAAATTTGTCGAAACTTTATCAAGTAAAACAAATTTTGTGTCTGCGCTGCGATGAAGTTATCACTGTTGTTATTGCTGAACATTCTGTTCTGTTGTTGTGGCTGTTTGTGTTGTTAGTTTTGTAATCCTTAAAGTTTGTGTCAGTGTTGCTTGCTTGCAATATTATCGATGTTTCAGAACTTTATTATTTTGTCTCTGTTGTTGTTGTTTTTGGAGTGGGAAAATTATTAAACACAGCAAAGCATAGCGTTGTCAACGCTTGTTAACATAATGCCACAGCATTTTTCTTCTTGTTGATGCTCATCGTTGACATCAAAGCGAAATGAAAAATAATCATTGCATACCTTTCGGCAAAATTAATCAGGAACCATTTTTTTCTCATGAGGCAGCAAAGTATCACGTTAAACGAAATGGCGTAAATATTGTAAAAGGGCAACTATGATGATAACCGCTTTGAGGTCTTCAATTCTCAAAGTTCGAAAAAATAACATCAGTGACAGAAAGTCATTTAAGTTGGAAAGAGCATTTTATTTCGTGAAATTGAATGTGAAAAAAATATTCTTTTGCTGAAGTTGAGATTAATATATTACTTTGAAAGGAATAATTCTAAAATATATCTTGTGCACCATAAAATATTTCATATTATTTATACAGTAAAAATATTGTTATATTTTGTCATTCTTTGTAAAGATAACATTTTTGTTATCCTAACGTTTTGGTTAAGAAGATTTTAATATTTTCCTTGTTTGTATTTAGATAGGTTCCCAAGCTTTTGACAGTTAAAATTTGAAAAATTTGTTTCTATAAAAAGGTTTGCGCTTTATGGCAGCAATTTTTAATATTTTCAGATATTTATAAAAAATATCAAAAACTTTTTTTAATATGACGTGAGACTTAAAGCAGTATCTTAGACATGATTTTAATATAAAACTTATTTTATTAATATTAAATTGAGGTAAACACATAAGTACAGAATTTAAAAACAGTTGTGAGCTTGTGTTTTTGATGGTGGTATTAATAAAAACTAATAACTAGAGTTAAATAAATAAAGTTAACAAACTGTATTAATTAAAGAATTAAATTTACTGTTCAAAATCCATTGATTCTAATCCGAAAACTCTTTAAAACTTAACAGTGATTACAGTATATTCTACATCTATAGACAAGGCCGTAACCAGTAATGAAATGCGAGAGGGGTTTTAAGATAATGATATAAAATAATTTATTGTTTCTTCATTTATTATCAGATAAATAAAAAAATTGTCTTATTATATAGTCATTTGCATTATTATTTTGGTTTTCTGTAAGCAGAAAGCATTGTAAATCATAATGAACCCATTAAAACTATCTTTTAGCAACGAGTTGAGAAGATCTCAGCCATCAGATCATAAAAGACTTCTCGCTGTATATCAGCTATTAGGGGGTCAAACATAGGATCGTTAGTATTTGAAGTTTCAAATATATCTAAGCTAGGAATGGGAACGTAGTATACATTAAATATGGGAAACCTTATTGGACTCTTTTAGAGTATGCTCTATGCAGAATACGTTAGTATTGTATACATATATGTATAAGTAAAGTGCTTCTGACTATATCTGTAGATCAATTTACGTATCGCTATAATGTAAATCAAATTATTAAATTGCTTACAGAATAACTGCAAAGATTTGTACAAAACGACCACAGAAATATTACAAAAAAGCTAAATTTTTTTAGAATTGAAGTCTGTGTAAAATCCATTTTGACAATTGATAGCTAAATTTTACTATGAGTGTGTCATTTCACTAGTAAAAGACTCTTACGTTATAATACTCCATCAATTTCTGAGCAAAACACTTATGCCTACAATCAATGTTCAACTTAGTTCAAGTGAATTTATTTTATAATTTGAAGACAATTATTTTATGAGCTGGACCCGCCAACAATTTTCATATAATAAGTTCAAAAACTTGACTAAGTATATACCTATAGAAAATGTAATTATAAGTTGTTTTTCGTTCCATAAATCTTTTAGATATGAAACAGTTTTCATTCTTTTAAAATATAGACAATTTTCGATAGACTTAAAAGAAGAGAGAATAATTTTCTTTTCGAAATTTTAAAAATTCTGTAAACCAAGTTACTATTGTAAACGATTACAAGTTTTTTGATTTATTTTTAAAACTTATTACATGATTTATAAATATTTTATCATAATTTTTTTCTAAACTGACCTCTTTAAGTTTAAATCTTGTGTAGCTTTTATATCCCTATTTTCTTCTATTAAATGTTTTGAATCAATTGCTAAATTCTGTAAAAATAATATTGTCTTTATTTAAAATAAAATCATGTATTGAAATGCATTAAAAATTAACTCAAAATTTTTTTTATTTATATTCTTTTTAGTTCAACTATTTGAGTATATTTTCATTTGTTACTCGTACATTGGAGCCAAAGTAAACAAAAATCGTAGCATATTTTCCTTCCAGTTTATTTTCTCATTGACCTCGAAAAAATATTGGTGCGACTAAATAAAAACTCCATCGACGAACGGATATTCTTTAAAAATCTCGTAAAATATTTACAATCACATATCGCGTATTTTATACCATACACTCTCCAGCTCTTATTCCTTGTACTCCTCTTATTCGTCCTATTTGATTATGAAATTCCATGGTAACTCATTCACAAATGGGGACATTCACGTATGTATGAGTAAAGACTGCATACATTCTCGTCCTCATGCATTCATTCATTCGTTACACTCATTTAAATTTTATTTTTTTCTGTGCAGTTCCACTACTTATTTGCTCTACTGTTAAGTTTAACTGATTGTTTTCATATAAAATTTTCATTTTGATTTGCAGTGGTGCGACGGCAGTACCAAGTGCATGTGGAGAACTCGGAAGTGTATTTGGGGAACTCGGCGTTGATTAAATGCGCGATGCCTGACTATGTGCGCCCGTATGTTAAGGTGACCAGCTGGCAGCGTGGCGAAGAAATTTTATTACCGGATCTGTCGGATGTTGGTAAGTGTTATGCCATTTGGTTAAAGCTTCTTCTCATCCTCCAATGCTTTTGTTTTAATTTCGTTATTTTAAAATAATTTTTATTTTGTCAATCAGTTTGTTTTATTCTTATTTATGCTTGTCTACTTTTATAGAACAGTTGATACGGTAGCACAATTACACTAAAAAAACAGAAAATGAAAAAACAAAGTTATCACATATGTTGGCATATAAATGTAAAGGCCATATGTATTAGTGTACACACACACACACACACAAACAAATATGGATAGCATTTTATCTGCTGTTGATATTTATGTGCGCATTTCCTTCCGGTGCGTATGTTGCCATTTGTTCTAGAAAAATGTTTAAAATGTTGCTTTGTGTCCTTTTGGTTAGGTTTTCCTTTTCTTTTATTTTTTATTTTGTGTTTTGTGTTTTGGTTTTGTTTTTGTTGATTTTGCTTTTGTATTTGTTTGTGATTTTATTCTCTTTTATGTGGGTTCTGGTGCGATAGTAAAACGGAAGTGTGTTGCAGTTGACATTTATTGGGAAATGTTTTTATGTTGTGGGCATATCCCTTCCAGAATTTTATATCTGTTATTTTTGTTGCCATTTCAATATTTCAGTTCTACTGAATAGTTTGTTGTAAAAGAAATTAATTTTTTATATCAAATTAAATTTTATTTTAATGTTATTTAATAGATAGTTGTATAATTGAGAACAACTCAAATTATACTGCACAATTTATTTATATTTAAGTTTATTTATGTTTATTTGACTGACGTCACAAGTATTATTATAATAGTATTACAAGTATTATTATTATTTTAATAAAATCAAATAATTGTCGTAGAAATTTATAAATTAATACTTTTTAGATGACAATAAATTGCAACAACAAAATTTTTATATATAATTCATTCGATTTCTTGATTAACTATACATTTATTTCGAACATTTTCAAATACTCATTATCAAGTTGCTTAGAAATAACAAATCAGTTTTTAGCTGTTATATTATTATATAGACTATTAGTTCCAGGCTTTCAACTTTGAAATAATAACACGGTAAATTGTTAGTTGAGACAGCTATATACAGCATGACTTTTATGGACTATAATTATTAAGCTTGGAACTATCGATATTTTGAAGTTACAATATGTTGTTTTTTTTGCTGAGAATGTCACATACGGATGGATTCGTTTTATAAGCATGTGCTGTATAAGTAATTATATACTGCGTTGTTATAGAAGAATTCAAGTTATTTGTTACTTTTAACTTCCTTTTAAATACCACAACTTAGAAACTTTCGTCGTCAAATAGTATCTATTTTTAATTATTCTGGTCACTTATCTCTCCTGCGGTACAAACGTTTTTGAAATAAAACAATGATTATGATTAGCATTAAAAATAAAGTGGTTTTTTAAAATGTTTGATTTTTAAAGTAAATACAGTAAATAAAAATACATTAAATTTATAGTAGTCTCCTTATATTTGGCATATCATTGTATGCCATCAATATCATATTAATATTATTGCGAGAATAACTGTGCTACGGCTGCCTTGAATAAAATTTTTTGAGTATTTGAAACCATATATCGGCAGTTAACTTCAAAATCATTAAAGTTAGTTCACAAATGAATACAGGCAATATGTCAGAGAAGTGACGTCGTACTAACATGCAGCCCTATTCACAGAAAAGTTACTTAAAATTATATCTCATTGAATTTTTTTTGCTTTTCTGTGGTTTATTGAAATAAATACTGATGCATAATAACGCTATCAAATTGAGAAACAAAACTGTTATTACCAGCTGTATTCATGCTCCAGCAAAAAAAAAAAAAAACAATGTTTTGTGTCCACTGGGACCAGGGCGGTATTGTGTATTATAATTTCTTGAAGTCCAGTAAATTTGTTAATAACTAATGCTATCATCAATAATCGAAGATATAGCAAAGTGAGTTTGTTATACAATAATGTACCATGTCACATAATAAAATCTGTGAAAGACACCTTGAAATCACTTGTGGGGGTGTTCTTTCACATCCGCTGTACTCCCCAGACCTGGCGCCATCTCACTATCATCTCTTTTCATTAATGCGGCACGTACTGGCAGACCAGTACTTTAGCAATTTTGAAGAAGAAGAAAGGATAAGAAGTTTTTATAACAACATTTTCTTCAATCTTTGTCTCAATCTTCTTTTATTTATCTTTAATCTTTAATCTTTCAATTTACCTAAAAGATGGACGAAATATATAAAAACCGAATACCAATATTTTGAATAAATAAAATTACTTTTCATTGAAAATAATGTGTTTGGTTTCCAAAAATAATGTATGCAACTGGTAATCCTGAATATATAGCATTTATCATTGATTAGTATGATGCTATCAATAGTATTCCGATCAATAGTATTTCTGAAAAATATCGAAAATGGATTTTTAGCAGCCCTTAAAATATAACAAAGTATATTCATATGGAAATGGCAAAACATACTTAATACAAATCAATTTTCTATTATTGGCATTCCAATTATATCTATTATTACAACTAGAATCATTTCTTTAAACATCCTAAAAATTCTTAAAGCAAAAACACTGCTAAATTTTACAACAGCAATCAGGGTCAAGACGACTATACACTCGATATCTGGAAGATCAAACTTCGTTAAAGGAACAAAATGGAAGTTCCAAAAATAATGATCGTTTTAGTGGAATAGTGAACTGTCGAAGGATAGTTGGCAAGCTTTATTATAATTTCTGTTGTACATTCTCACTATTTTCAGATAAATAGATATCTAAACACTTGCTTAGTGATTGTTAATGCAATCCACACACATAAATGTGCAATTTTTCAAAAATAGCAGTTAAAAGTATAAAAGTAGTTTAGTAAAACATATATGATAATATATATAAATTATAATATATTTGAATTAGCGATTTGTTACTATATATATAACATAAAAAATGTTTGGTTTATTTTTTCTTTATTGCTCGACTTTTGTTTTTTAATGAAATTCATTTTTGTTTATTATTTTTTAAAATATATTTATGTCAACTATATAGTGTATCATATCTTTAGATAGTTTTAAAAATTTTTTCTCTTGAAATCTTTATTTAAAATATATTTATGTGAACTACATATATGATGTCTTTTTTAAAATCTCAGCTGGTCGATACATAGTGCTGTTGTCGTCCGGTGACCTTTATATACGGTCCGTGCGCACTGAGGACAGTTTAGTTAAATTTGCCTGCTTGGCAACCAACACATTGAATGGTGAAAGACAACGCAGTGAAGCTGTGATGCTGCAAGTGAAAGGTAAAATCGAATAAGCAATAAATGTATCTAATAAAATATCTCAGAACATAAAAGCACCAGCAAACAAATAACTGAAATATTTGCTTACGCATTCGTTGTAGAATTGAGCACAAACCTAGCTCCACGCACCACACAGAAGCCTGTAATGGAGATTCACGTGGAACGTGGCAACGATGTTCATTTGCCATGCAATATACAAGGGAATCCTTTTCCCATATTTACGTAAGTATTCGTATTCGCATATCTCGGACAAGGTATAAATTTGATTTTATTACGTACATTTTGCATTTTATTATTGGCTATATATATTGTAGTCGGAAGCTGCAGGTCAGCTGACTATGTACTTTTATAGCAAATAAACGTCCAGTAAATAGACAAACACAATAAACGCACACCGTACAAGAACACAATACTGTATATTGCACAGGATATAGAATGTAGGATATAGGATACAGCAACAGTCACTATACTACTACACAATTTAATACGTAACTCTATGATACTAAAGTGCGCTCAAATGTACTCCCACAGATATTAAAACTTTGTTTTTGTTTCTGCACATCCACAACGTTTTAGGATTCTTTTTTTTGGGGCTTACGTGCACCACAACGTGTACTTTAGTGTTAATTATGGTAGATTTTTATGTTTGTTTTGAGACCATTTTGTGAAAATTGTGTGTTGCATAAATGGGCACGTTTTTGTATTGTTTTAATGTGAAAAATATTATACCAAGTCAGGTATTTATTTTGGTTTTTAATTTATAACAACTACGCAGAAGTGTTTGTGGTTGTGTAATTTTTTGTTAACTGTAATTTTAAAACCTTTAATGTAATCAGAGTTTTTGGAAAGGGATCTGTTTTGCATATATTTCTTGAATTGATTTGATGAATAAAGCTGTTTTCAAACAAGACACGTGCTCTATTATTTTCGTATGGATTATAGAGCATACCAACGCACATTCGGAAAATCAATAAACGCTACTTAGACTTAATCCGCAAATGATTTGTGAATTTATTTTATGTATTTTGCTCCTTTTTCGGTTTACTTGTACAGATTAGTTGTGTTCTTTTGACGTACAGTAAAGACCTATTGACAGCTAAGTTTAGTGAATTTGTTACTTAATGGATTTACAGTAGTAACAAAAAAATTATTATAATACTTAAATTGGTAGGGTATAGAACTGACTACTTTTTCTTTTATATTTTTTATAAAGATAAAGTAAAAATGTTACTTATACCTACTACAAATTAATGAAATACAGACTTGCAATATTACTGGAATTAATATAATAAAGATAAATTGAAGTGTCAATAAAGTTACTTGCTTCAAAATTTTAACGAAAAATAGTTACTCATACGCACTGTGTACTATTTTTAGCAGTACCAAATTTGTTTCAAGAAAAACTCGGAGATGTTTTTAGAGAAAATAATAAATGAATGTTAGAAAAAAATAATATAAAACATATTTATTAATTTATATTTAAAAGGGTGCAGCTTTTTTTCTGGAAATAACTATGTAGATAATTTTATAACATACATTTTATATATAAAATTCCTTATATGTTTGTTAATTAAATGCTGAAGTAACTATATCTATAGTTACTATATAATAACTATTTTCTTATATCAGTGAAATGCTTTTTGATTCTTCAGAGATATTGTATTTTAGTTTTCAAAGAATATTTTATTGCTTATTTATATAAATGTGTAAACATTTCGACAATAAGCTTATTTCCTTTTGGATCAATGACATTGTCCTTATTAAGATCGCTCTTATTTTGAGATTGTAGCGCATCAAATAGTTAACATTGCCAATCGCTATCAAAATCGAATTCACAAAATCTAATTTGTATGCAAAGCATGCTTTGCTATGCAAACATAAACAAAACAAAAATAAACACTTTGAGATAAATTTTTGTAATCACAAGTATCTGCAAATGCTCAAGACTACATACCCAAATACTGGGGAGTTTGGTTTGTTTTTATGTATAAACATATCAGTGTATTATCGTAATCACTTTAGCATGTTTTTGTGTTTGCAGTCAAAAAAAGGAAAACATTTGAGTCGCGTGTCTTGACTTCAGGCTCTGCAATCGAGTATTTATGCATAAAATTTTAATAAGCCTTCAAACAAATAAAACAGATGGAAAGGCACGCAAACATATTTACACAGACGAAAACTGTCAAATTATTCAAGCTTGTGTCATGTGTTTGTACTTTTGGGGTCTTGGGGGTATGTCATTCTTCATTGAATTACGAATTACGAACTTTTCCAATGACAAATGCCTAGCATTTATTATTTGTTTTAGGCAAATTAATTTGAACTCTCTGTTTTAATTGAAATATAACTTCTTTAAGTTTTAGATTAAGTTTCAGGTAAAGTTTGTAATTGTTTATATAAGAACTATTCAAATTCAATGAAATTCGGAGAAGCATGTTAATTACATATTTGGTTTTGTTTAATTGAAAGCATAAAAAAATGTTAAAATAAGAATTTACATCTGAGAAGCTTAGTTACCTAAGGAGTGAACGGATTAAGTAATCCTGTTGACGTTTACTGTTTTATTTTAAGGTTTGCTGACAATAATTGTTTATCATGCTAATATAATATTTTTTAAGCATTACAATTCAATCAGCTTTCTGTATCATTAAAGAGCGTGCCCTGGTCTAGACTTCTAGTATTAGATGATCTGTGTATGTGGCTGTAATATGTGGTTATATTAGTAATTCTAATATGGTTACGAATTACTGACAAATTGATAGGTAACAGGACAGTTCTTTTTTTTCACTGAAAGACCCAACACACTCATTTAAGTAAAAGTGAGTCAACCTGATCAATTCAAAAATATGGCTAAGTCTCCAATGTGATGAAATCTCCAATGTCAATTCGGTAACGAAGTGAGACCTAAAGACTTTAAATCTTCTCCTATCCAATGTTGGACACTGAAATATTTGGCATCGTGTAGTTTTCGTCTCATCCACAGAGCCACGACCCCAACAAAATCAGTGTAGACTAGACCCAATCTCATAGCATGTTTTTATAGTACCCATCATAGTACCCATCATGACCCATCAGCACCGATACTATGGCAATAAGCATGATCAACTATAGTAGATTACTGAAATAATTATTCACAATAAGTTTATGAAATTGAGTTTTAAATCTTTTGGAGTATCTATAAAGGGATTTTCTTGCTTAAACTTTTTGTTGAATATTGGACAATTTTTTATGTATTTATTAGATTTTATTATAATAATTAAAATAAGGATTTCATATCCTGACGATAAAAATTAAGTGATATCCATTTTTATGTTAGAAATTTGTGAAAACTAATTAATTTTAGCAGTAAAAATAAAGTTTTGATATAGTTCCTTTTAACTAAAAAAAAATTCCTAGAGTACACACCAGTTAAATATTTTTTAATTTTTCATTAAATTTAAGTATTTAAATATTAAATTGTAATAAATTAGCTATTTTAAGATAATATATAATGGCACTTCACTGAAGTCACTTAATTTTTCTTTTTTATTGTTGTTTTTTAAATTCGCTTCAAGTACTCCAATTGTTTCGCTAACAGCATGAAAGCATAATAATTCACAACAAAGCACGTTTACTGCGTACATGAGTTATTTTAAATTCACTTTACCAACAATAACAACAACAACAACATTTCTAACAATGCCAACTATACAAATATTGAAATAAATCACTTAAGCAGACACGAAAACAAACAAACAAAAGTGCTCGAAACACCGAAAGTACTGACGTATGAGTAATCTTCATTACCGAGCACAAAAGCAGCGAATATGACATTTTCATTGTCATGGCTACGCGAAGTCTGCAATATCATGTTAACACACAAACTCACAAACACAAACACACAGTTACAGATTTATATCGTTTGCAAGCGAACAAACAAGCCTTGCTATCAAGCAATGCTAAATATACACAACTACCTTTAAATCTTTATTAACATAAATAAAACATTTCATGTTTATAACAACAACAACAACAACAACAACAACAAGAACCTACAACAATAACAGCAACAGCAATAAAAACTTGTGTCATTTTTACAGGTGGTATCGCGTTTCTGATTCCTCAGCCTTGTATCCGATCCCGTCTTCACAGCGAGTCATACTGTCGCGTACATTGTTGCTCATCAAAAATGCTGATGAACGTGATGCGGGAAAATGGGTAAGTTTAAGGGTGAAAGTTTGTTATATGTGCAAGCATTTGTTGTTGCTTTTTAGTATGAAAACGAGTACGAGTAAAACATTGAGAGCGCGATGCTTATCTAACATAATTCAAGGACGCGTTAGCATAATAAAGTTATGAATTTCATTAACGTTAAAGAGGCGACATAATTGTTTATTGTTTGTTTATGGGATTTTGTATTAAGGGTGACAGGGCCAAGAGCAGCGGAGTCATTGTCATGCTTCTTCGCTGTAATGCGAATTTAAATAATGAGCATAATTTGTTAAATTAACTTTTAAATTAATTTTAAGAATTTCCATTTTTTATTCATGATCTAAGAGTTGTTAATGAACTTAAAGGATTAGCAAGTTTGTCAGAGTTTTGATTACGGATTTTTTTATCTCATAAAGATAAAAAAAATTTCTTTTTTTATTTAAACTTTTTGTTAGAAATTTTAAATTATATTCAAGAATTTTCATATTATTTGTATATTGAAAGTAAAATTAATTTTTTTGGATTATTTTACCTACATTCATTGAGATTTAAAATTTTGTTTAAAAGTGACTATAAGCACTTTAATCATTTTAAAAATAGCTCCGGTAACCAGACCACCATGTTTGGGTTGGTTTGGTGATAGTGGTAACAGGGCTTTCCATTCTGCACAAGAAGTGCTCAATTGCTATTTTACATATTCACACCCGGATATGAGATTCAAAGCCTTAAAACTTTCTTTTTGTTGTGTTAGGTGGAAAGCATTGTAAAATCTGAACCCACACAAATACCCTCTTAAGAATTTAATGGAAAAGATTTTTATCACTAACCCGGATGAAAGTATTTTATTCTAGTAATTAGGCGAGAAAATTCAGACGAAGGGACAGACTTAGTACTTAGAGGTCTAGGTTCATCCAAGGCAGAAAACATGGGCGTGATATAAATGGAAGGAACATAGGGTGATATTTTAATTCTAGTAATTAGACGAGAAAGCTCAGATGACGGAACTTAGTACTAGGAGGTCTAGGTTCTTCTAAACCAGAAAGCATGGGCGTGGCATAAAGGGAAGGGAGATAGGAGAATACTTTATTATAGTAATTAGGAGAGAGGGTTCAAATTAAGGGATTTAGTATTGATGGGTAGGCTCATGTAAGTCAGAAAGTATGTTTTTGATATAAAAGGAAGGGGGATAGTTAGCTTTGAAACTAACCTGCGCGATTGATATAGTAAATTTGATTTTAAAAGATATACATTTATTTGGGTTGTCTACCTTGTTTAGTGGACTTGAATTCCGAATCAAAAGACAACAAAAATAAAAAAAATGAAAAGAAAATCCATAACTAAGGAGTTGAAATAGTGAGTTCTAAAAAAAAATTCTAACATTTATCCTTTAATTGTTGTATACTAATATGAATTTTGTTTATGCAATGTTTTTTACGTTAAGATATTTTTTCGGCATACCTAGGATTTTGGGCTTGAAGTTTTACGTTTATGTTTTTTGGTGCAAAGAAGAATATTAAATTTCTTCAATTAGTAAATGTGCAGCTCAATGGTTAGATTCTTTAGAAATTGTTTAATCATCTTTAGTTTGGTATAGTGGTTAGGGAATCTGATGTAAATGAAATATAATGACCTTTTTCAACTATCTATATCAGTAGAAATAAAAGTTGTATTAGTAAAACAGATTGTAGATAAATTAATATACTCGATTTTTGATGATAGCACTAACACATGGATCTTAGATAAATATTAAAATCCTTACTGAGATAAAAAAAATTCGTATTTTTCTATGCAAATGTCAATTCGGCTATGTTTAGGATTAATGTTGCTGTCCATCTTGTATTTGTTTTTAAGTTCATTATCAGTCATTTTAGATAATTTATCTGTCAATATTATTCTTGTGTTTTTAGAACAAACCTCTACCAAACGCCGCATTTGTGTCTTGGCACATTACGAAATTCTTATTGAAATATCTTTATATTTATATAGAAATATTAAGATGATGGAAATATAATAAAACTCGTCGAACTAAAAGTTAGCCTGAGATAGTAAACTATATAAACAGAAAAAAACATTTATTTATATATTATTTATTATTTAGAATGGCTAATCGAAAGATATCCTTATAATTTTTATAAATAGCAATTATTTGCTGTGTTAATAGTACATTCCGTGTTAAAAACTCTTATAAATAAAAATTCAGTTCAGTTTATGTAGTTTAACGTTCACTGAAGGGCTAAGGCGGTCAAAACTGTTATTTTTTCATTCTCTTCGATATTCTTCTGATCGGGAACGTATATAATAGCGATGTTTGCAAGGTATTTAACTAGGACTTCCGACTTATATTCTATTACTAGTTCGAAATTTGGAGTTGAAATATTGAAATCTTTATTTGATAGGACTGAAAACCGAAGCATAAGTTTGGTTTCATTAGCACCTATGCCGCAGTCTATTTTTGAACCATCGTAAAGTAGCTGTCGAAGCATAAAATAAATCAGATTTGTTAGTTTAATGCCAAACTATACCGATAATTCGTGCTTATGTCGAGAATCGCATCTTTCAGCCTAACAGCACTGTTGTTGTTATACAAAATGTAGCATTTATATCTAATCATTAGTCGTTTACTTATGTTTTTCACAATATTGAATTGAACTTTGTGGTAAAGGTTGTATAAAAGCATTGCATAAATAACTTTAAATTATTTTAAAATAAAGTAAATATTTACTCATGTAAATCGTTTAAGAACTTACAGTTCCGATTACTTTCAGATATAAAATAATTTGAGTAGCAAATTAACAAAAACTAACACAATTTGCTTATATTTTTATATTTAATTTAATAAACTTCGTTATATCATTCATTTAATTAAAAAATAATTATGATAGTTATTTTCTCCTCTATTGACCACTAAAAATAACCAAAAATTACAGTAATAAATATTAAATAAAACTACATCAAATAACAATGGGAAAATATTATTTAATTTAAATATGTTTTTAAAATTTTATAATTCAATTAAATTAACTAAAATAAATTTTAATTAAAAAAAATTTTTGTTTTTATGTACAATATGCTATAGATTAAAAACAAACAAAAAATTTGATTAGTTTCAACTATTTGATTTTAATTAATCCAACTCTAACTCAATAGACTAACACGGAATAAATTCCTAGTAACCATGGAAAAAGTACATTTTTAATATAACTTTTTCAGATATGCCAAGCTTCAAATCAATTTGGTGAGCAACGCATTGAGATTCGTTTATTGGTGAACTCGTATGTTTCGGTGCATATTTTGCCACAAGTTCAGATTGTCAACTCAGGCGGAACGGCCATTTTCAATTGTTCCACGACGGGTTCAGCGATCGATGGCATCGAGTGGCTGCACAATGGCACACCCTTGAAAGAAAATAATGCACTCAGCACCGGCAGAGACAAGTAAGTGCAATGCTTTCCTCCTAATAAAACCAAAACAAAAAAAAAACATATTAAAAACATAAAACTGAGTTTAACTATGAAATTATTTTGTTTTTCCGTTCATGTAACTTCGAAAAAAAATTTGTCTTTTTTTGTTTTTTATTTTATATGGAAGTGTTGTTGTTGTTTCTAAGGCTTTGAATTGGAACTCGGATTTGGCTTTGTTGCCATTGTGCGCGCTGCACATTCAGCATTTATATTCGTTTAGCTCTGCTTTTCGAAATATTTTGTTCTATAGTTTCTGATTTTTTTTTAATGTTTGACTGCAGATAAACACTGGTTTTCCACTTTTTTTCTGTAGTTTTGATTATTTGGAAATTCCAATTTTTGCTGGCTGTTATTGGCAGTTATCAATTGCCACATCAATATTATTGTTGGTTAAAAATTCGTGGTTCGATTAGGTTTTCCAAAACAAATTCCATTCTTTTTTCGGTTCTTTAGTAAAAATTTCTATTATTTTCTGTAATGTTTTGCGGTCATGAACTCTTTGATTTCGGTGAGCTTATGATGTAAGTTGTTAGAAAAATTGAAATAAATGTATTTTCAAAACTTTTTGTATTCATAAAATATTTATTCAATAAATTATCGCCTTCAGAATTTAAATATAATGTATTTTAAAAATAACATGAAAATATTATTTAAGGGTAAGTAAACAACAACTCACATTAAATACGACCTAATATTTTTTCCGATATTTAATTAAAAAAATATAAAAAAATATAAACACTTATATAATATATATAATATATTTGCTCTCGAATAAAGAGCAAATGATTCGTTAATATTGAAAAATTTTGCCAGCAAATATTGATAAATATATATGGCTTCAGTTCATAGTTTCAGTGAACTTTTTTATCTTGAGTTTTTTTAAACCAATTTTCTTTGTTTACTTAATGAAAGTCCATAACAATTAAAGATAATCAATTATGAGTTCTCTGTTCAATACTTAAACGATTTATTAATCATATAATAATATCTTGACAACCAGGCTTTTATTCAGTAAAATACATTGAGTTCCCTTTTTGCTTTCTCGACAATTTCTCAACACTTTTCATGTCCAATTTTGGGCTCTTCAAATGAAAAGATCTGTTATTTTCATTATCTTAACTGCAACAGATCAACAACTATAGTTGGTTGCTACTAAAACATTTATTTTAATTTTTATTTTTATTTCCTTCTTTTATTTCCTCTAAAAGTATTCTATTCTTACATCAAATACTACGCAATATAATTAATATACCATCAATGTTGATTTAGCTGTCAACATTTTCAATTAGAAAATTTTTGTTGTTGCCTTTTTATTTCTATTCGAACTCTTCAACCCTTAAATAGTTTCTTTTCGTCATAAGACGCGTCCTTTCGAAAAAAAAAATTAATATTCCTGAATATATTTTATTTACATGAAACTAAATATTGAGGTATAAATTTTCTTCTAAACTAATGTTACCAGATTAGTGTGTTATATGTCTTTAAGGTGGCCGTTCTACATTTTACTCAAATTTACCGAACCAAGTTACCTTCATTATATATTAATTAATTGTGATGTACTGTTAATAAAATAACAATTATAATGCATGATAAATCATAAAAACAGAATATCATAAAAGTCACATAAAGTTCCTTTCTAAAATTTCAAAGAATATGCCTACTTTGCCTTTAGCATGCCAAATCTGAAAGGGTTTCATTATTACAATTTATCTCAAATTAAGCCAAATCAGCATAATTTTATCTAAACATGTAATGCAAAGTCATAGATTACAGACCACACACATACCGACCTCACACAGAAGTACAAAAGCAATAGACTTACTAAGCCGGGCAAGTTCAATGCTTGTCTGTCGAACAGATGTTGGCCAAGTACCAAACCCGAGAGCAGAGCCAACCGAAATCAGAATTACAAATCAAGCAGAAATTTTTATGATTATGCTAATAAAGTAAATAACAAATTCTGGTTGATTGTGAACATATGCCGCAGTTCCCATATATACCGACAGTAAATATTATAAAAGTTTCTATTACATCAACACGCATACACACACCAAAATGTGATAAAAGTGATAAGGGATGACGGGGGCTTCCGACAATCTTTTGCGAAAAAGCAACTTTGACTCATTTTATATGAAGAACAATGGATTAAAGTAAATACACTCATTTGTATGAATATTTGCCGGCACATGTGCAAAGCCAAAAATATCCTTTTTGCCTTTTATTTAAACATTTAAATAATAAAATATTTTTGTTGACGTTTGCAGTTTACGTTTTCTAACAAGGGCGTCCCTCATGATACTAAATGTGGGCCGTCGGGACCGGGGTGCCTATCAATGCCTGGTTGAAAACCACAAAGCAAGTGCACAGGCAATGGCCGAACTGAAACTGGGGGGTAAGTAATTTGCATTGCTATAGTGTTGATTAATATTTTGTGCATTTTTTTATTAAATTATTTTTATTTAAATAATTTTATCTATTGACAAATGTTGAAAATTTAAACTTAAAATATTCTATCTCTGCAGACACTGTGCCTGAACTGATTTATACATTCATCGAGCAAAATGTACGTCCGGGACCATTAATATCCCTTAAGTGCTCGGCAAGCGGTTCACCGCCACCACAAGTAAGTATACATACACACACACACATATTCAGGCATACATTAAATTTGCTGACTGCGCGAAAATATTCTGTAGAATATCCCCAATTTGATGATATAAAATTTATTTTCTACTATTTTTGTTTTGCTCCTTGTACAGTTTGCGTGGCTACTGGATTCTCAGCCCATAATGGATGTTTCCTTGCATCATCGCTTTGCAATTGGGCAATTTGTCGATATGTCTGGCGATGTAATAAGTCATTTGAATATCTCCCATGTACGGCCGGATGATGGTGGACTCTATAAATGCATTGCTACAAATTCTATGGGTAGTGTGGAGCATGCAGCGAGACTAAATGTGTATGGTAAGTTAAGACAAAATTTATGATTTCATACAGTACAGTACATAAGAGTAGCATTAGACATTTATATTTGTTACTAAAATATGTATTAATTTTATACACTCATATCTAAAACCATATCCAAGCCCTTTTGGCTTGCTTATTATATCAATACTTCGCTTCACTAAATATACGAGTATATAAATTCTATATAAAATAGAAATTCGTAAAGCGTCTAAATTGACTTTGATTGGCAAACTATCAACGAACTATCATACAAAAAAAAATCAAAAGAAAACCAAAAGAGAACCATCATTGTCATATACCACAATATTCTACCAAAAATAAAAAAAAATCAAAAACATTATTAATAATAACAAAATTGAAAAATTCTTTATTGCTTCCTTAAAAAAAATTCTTTTTGAAATGATTGCTATGCAGGCGCATAAAAAGATACTAAAAATTGCCTTGGCAAGGATATCTCAACATGCTATTCCTATCATGCCATTTTCACAATAACCTTTACATTGGATGCATTGATTCGTACACAAAGTAACTTGGCTATGAATGCCAACAAGCTGAGTGAGATTGTGCCCTGCTCTGCATTGTCTGCTATAAGGCTTTTATCCTGCCTGGTAGAGCAATGCGGTGTTGTGTGCTGTTTAACGTTTTATCATAATAGCCCAGTCGAGACACTGAAGGACACAATCACTGTCATATTATATATTAAAAAAGCAAAATAAAAAAAATTACTAACAATAAAGCTTTAACATTGTCAGGGTAACGAAATTCTGCAAAATTTTAAGGATGCAAGAGTTTTATTTTTGCTGTGTTAGCCTTTGAAATCTTTAACGTTTAAGATAATAGATAATTTGCAAGTGTTCTGCTTTAAATTGATTACTAAATATACAAGTGCACAATCAAGCAAATCCTCTGTTCTGGGACTGCTTAAAGTTTATTAAATATCGTATACATAATAGAATTTAATGTTGTCAGGCAGTAGGCGTATATGGTGGCATTGATTTCAATGGGTTAGGTGCATAATGAATGTACAATGATAATGTACAATGATAGATAATAATACGTTTCCAAAAAAATACAAGATAGCACAAAATAATATAGAAAGAGGAGATGCTATAAAAAATTACGTATGAGGAGTGATAAGAGCTATATCTATGAACAAAAAAAATTATTAAAAGCGAATAAAAAACTATTCTATAAACTTTCACAAAAATAAAAAAAAACGATATATTAAAAATTAATTATGAAGTTTACTTGATGGTATGTTGTTCTATATACTTCGTAATTTTTTTGCAACTAATCTAAATCAGACATTGTCTTAAATATATATTAACAGTTTGAATAAAAAGTGATTAATATCATTACCATGTATATGAACCAAATTTCGAAGTTTATGGTTTAGTTTAGGTGGACACAATAACATATTCGCAAATAGATCGCTAGAACAAAGTGAAAGTTATACTGTAAGATTCTTTTTTAGTGCAGTTAAGGTAATGCTATGTACAATGTATCACGACATGTAAATTCATATTGTAAAGAGAACATTATTAAAGCTTGACTTAAATACTTTCAAGTAAACAACTTAAAGAGTAATTTATTGTTAATGTACTATCGTAGCTTTATTGCCATTATTCTTTGATATACCATCTCGGCTTATATCGGAGCTTATGATTTTGCTTTTTAAATTTTAAATGTTTATCATTTTTAAGTGTACTTAACTGTATTCGATTGTTGATTTCACAGTCTTTGTCTTATTCAGAAACCTTCTTAGTTGAAATAACTGCATCACTATCTGACTTTCGGATATCGTGGCTATTGTATCTTAGATACTGTACTTTACTAAATATAGTAACTTATGAGTTATGAGTTGCCAACAAGTCCTGCACAAAAGATCTTTCATGTCGTAATGCATGTACAGCTCAACTATACAAACAAGTTGACCGGAATGTTTTACTTGTTGTGAGTGCTTACCGTTTATTATTAGCTAGCTGTAGGAAGTGAATATAGATTTTCACAGTTCTTGTGTGTGTGGGAGAATGGATTCTCATGTATGGTTTCTTTGCAGACCTCTCTGGCTAATTAGTCTAATATTAGGATCCATAGCTTTTGATTAACTGAGTATTATAGATAAATCTAATTTTGAAATGAATATTATCACGTCAGAGGGTGTGGATTAGATTGAGTAATGCTCAATTTTGTTAAGTTTTAGTTGTTACCTCATTAAAAATAATTAAAATTTCTTAATAAGCTTAAATAAATATTAAAAACAAATATATGGCATGATCTACGGCCTTCTTTATATTGTATTTTACTATAAATTTACTATAAATTTATAATAGTTGCCATTACAACATATAAAAAAGAAAAATAAAATAAATCATTTTTAATTAAATGAATTATTTCACAACAATGAATTCACACTTCTAATTCTGAAACTATTTTTGATTGTTAATAATCGTCCAAAGCTGCCAAAAATAATTCCTGTTTCCATGTTATTATCAGTTTAGCATCAACAATTTCCCACATAATCCACGTCACTGACTTCACAAAAATTGCAACGAATTTATTTCAATTTTCCGTATAAATTTGCATACATAAATGTCAATTTAAAAATGCATAAAATGTTTTGATTTTTCTTTCATTTTACAATATTTTTCTTTTTTGTTTTGGATTTATCTATTTTCATTTATTTTCATATTTATGATTTCAATTGCATTTTCACAATTCGAAATATGACAAAACTCTTATGAACCAAATAAAAAAATCTATTGCTTCGATTGTCAACAAAACGCTTTGCATTCTTGCATTCCACAAATTATTGTCACAGACCTCACAGAGCTCATGGAGCTCTCTTAACTATCACATCACACATCGAAGTCGAAGTTATGCTGAATCCACTGCAGTTTGCACAGCAGATGTTGGTGCAAAATAGAAGATACTCACATCTCGAAAAGCAAAAAAGGATATTTCATGCATAATCGATTTTATGCATGTCAGATTTGCATTGTTGTTGTGAAATGTACGGATTCTCAAATGTTTATTTGCATAATATTGTATAGTTTATGTATGCGAGAAGTCGTACATATATAATCGATGTTTGTTGCTGCTCTACATGTAAGTATCTTTGACTCATCTCCTCATAGATGCAAATATCTAACAAGCTGTGAGGAGGCTTTGTGTGATTCTTCGGAGATGACATTTTTTTTTAAATCTTTCTAAATACTTTCCTGTGTTTTTCTGTGAACCGATTTTTTTAAAACTGAATGAAAAATTAAATAAAGTAACTTAAAGTAACACATAAAAAAATAATTAAAAAGTTTGGATAAATAAAAAATTCTTTTGGAATATCAGAATATCCTAAACAAGATTCTAGGTTACCTTCCAAATTAACAGATATAATAATTCTAAGTTTAATTATTACACAAAAAAAAACATAATGTCAGTTTAATAAAGAAGAAGTGGTTGGTCGATGTCCAGAGAAGTGTGGGTCATATATTTTTAATTTATTTTTTGATCCTAGAAATATATCATTTTGATAGGAAAATTTTGAACACTTTAGAAGGTATAAAAAATTTCCTGCACTCTTTTACCACTATGAATGAGGCTTAAGTGTAACGCTAGGACTTTGGATCAAAACAAGTGGATAAGGAGAAATTGCGTAAAAAGTTATAGGTGTTAGTTTTTAAAGAGCAAAACGAATTTCGTTGATAGATTATCTCTGAACTTGTAAAATTAATAAGACCTAATTATTATTTCAACCTTTTTCATAAACTGAATACTGAAAAAAAGAACTCAGTTGGCAACTCACTAGACAGCCCATTTTGCATAAATTCAAGCCACAGCTCAAACAGCTTAAGAAACTGTCGCTAAAGTCATTAAGTTATATGAAGAACTGCAACAACCAGCATATTGTCTACAGACAATATACCAGACAATTACAATATCAGCCAATTACAATATTAGAATATTTAAATCACATTCCTCGCAACAATATCTTGTAGAACTAAATCCAACCATTTAAAGTTTATAAAGTTTAATAGATCTTTTATTCTACTGCAGAACAGTGTAACAGACTTTCAAGAAAGCATTGTCCAAAAAATCTGTTACGTCTGTTAGCCAAAGTTGGCCTAATAAAGCAAGTCTTCGTCCAAGTCTCCACAAGTGTTGATCGGAGCTTTTCTACGTAATATTCTCTACACTAGTGGCTTGAAATCACTGCAATTAAGTATGAACTCGGCCATGTTAATGAGTTCTTTGTACAGGGTTATATTGAATCCGGATATTTTACATATTGTGAGTGACTAACGCCAATTATTACTTAGCTGCAGAAATTGGGAATCGTTGTTCCCTTTACGAGCTCTAGTAAAATGAACTCTGTAATAAGGATTCTTCGCAGATCTTCTTTATTAACCAGTTGGCATTGTATTCATAACGTTTGATGAGATAAATTTCATAGATGTTGACGGAGACTATATTGAAAAATTAACATATTTTTAGCAATAAAAATTGATTTTCTTATACCCGTCCCGCAAATTTATTAAACATTCTAGTATTTGCAAATAGAAATTAATTTTATAAAAGCATTAGAACATTATTTATTTGTCAAGTTACAAGTCTTAAAAGACTTTAACAGATGTCTTCGATATGTATATGTAGGTCAAACATTTTTATTTTAAGTATAAATGGATATGTCACTGGGCGTTTTCCTTCCTTAGTAAATATTACTTGTTTTCATTCATACTTGACAGATTGTAATAATATAAGAGTTGTATCTATTATCGGTGATATTTTAATAAATTTAATATAGTAGTTATCTTTCTTTCTATCCATAGTATCACAACGAGCTATTATTTGACCTAAGTGGGGTTTGGGCACGACTCCAACTTAAGCAAACCTAGTCTATGTTCCTATCGGTGTAAACAATATTAAAATAAAAATAAAATCTTTAACTAATAATTCTTGAATGTCAAAACTAAAACAGATATCATTTTATATTAGGAAAGGATCTAGTAACTAGTAAAAATACATTGTTCTTAAAATTTAAACAGATATTTTTTATATGGTATTAAGGTAAGCTTTATAGATTGGTATTCTAAAATTGAAACAATTTTTAATTTTAATAGTTTTTTGTATTGCTTAAAAAAATAAACAAATTGTTAACAACTATTTACAAAAAAAATAAATTTTAAATGTTAAGAAACAAATGAGTATCTGAGAGTTACAAAAACAAAGTCCATATGGTTTTTAGTAGAGTTAATATGTATATCTAATTATAAAGTAATAGTTAATATAAATTAATTGTTAAAAAGTCTATCAGATTATACTAGAGTAGTAGCAGTTATTTTATATTGTTAAATAAAATAATTCGAATTAATAATAAAAAATAATCAATGAATAAAAATTAATAATAAAAACTGAAAGTATGACACGTGAGAAAGTTTTGGAAATTGAATGATGAGAATTACACTTAAGTTAACAGATTTGGTCATGTTGAAAACAAATCTAAGGAACTATGTATTGGAAAGTCATATAAATCGTCAAAAGTATCCAAAATAGCCATTGGACTACACAATGGTAATTGCTGTTCCATTGGTATATCTAGCGAACCAGCATTAGCTTCCAACAGTCGAAGGTTTAACTCAAATGGTTGACTTTCATAGCCGCTGAATAGGTTGGCAACTAAATCAGTTGCCATTTCTGTTGATTCAAGCAAGTTAATATAGTTGGCCTGCAAAGGACTTAAGCAATGTTCTGACAAATGCAATGACTCTCCATCAGATTCCAGCATCAAATTGGTTAAGTCAGCAATAGTATTCGCTTGTGTGTAATTGGAATCGTTGACGTTGTTCACATTTCTGTTTGCTTTGGATTTGTTGCTTTCATGGATATCGACCAGCCTTGGAGTTTGCTTCCTTTGACGTCGTTTCGATAAGTTCTTGCGACAAACACTGTTAGCGGGTAATTTTGCAACATTTTTATTCTGCACTTTTGTAGGTTTACTCAAAGTCTTTTCGGGTTGAGCAACTTGTATGCGACTAGCAACTGATTGCAACGCGTCAAATGACAAATTTAGTTCGCCATACTTTTTACACTCTAAAATGTCATCCACTGGTACGTCATCATTATTCAGTGCTTCAGTTAAGACACTTATGTACTTCATGGCCAGTCGCAGTGTGGTGATTTTCGTCAGCTTCTCATTTGCTGCGCCTACCTCTTCATCGGTTATGGCTGTTGGAACACAATTGCGTAGATTTTCGAAGGCTTGATTTATCTCCTTCATGCGGGTGCGTTCCCTTGCATTTGCCGTTTTTCGTCGGTATTTGGAGAGGGGCGCTGCTTTAACTTTCTTCGCATTTGTGGATTTTGCAGTTTTGCTGCTTTCAACTGCAATACAGCCACTGGCATTTTTGTCGGAATATCTGGCGTTTTTTGGTTTGCTGCTTGTGAAAATGAATTCATTTTCTGGCTTTTTGTGTTGACTTTTATGTCTCTGACGGAGTGAATATTTTTCTGTAATTTTGTTACTACTGCTGTTGTTGTTATTGTTGTTGTAGTCACATTTGTTGATTGGCAATAATGCCGCATAATTATGCATTTCATAAGTCATTTTGGACGTGAATTACTTCCGAAGCGCTTTCAACTGAAAAAAAATAAAAATAAAAACAAAAGAAAATTAATTTAATTAATTTTAATTAAAAATTTTTCAATTTATGTTAATTATTATATATTTTGATTTATTGGCTATTCACAAAAATTAAAGTCTTAAATGTGTTCTTGAGATAGAAGCATTTAATCTATCGCAACTTCACTCCTACAATGCGAAGATGAATTTATGCCAAATAAAAGTTAATTTTCGTTTGTTACATGCCAACGAGCATTTATGAAGCGTAAAAATTATTTATTTTCTTTTTGTTTGTCAAAAATAAAAATAAAAGAAATAAAATATTAAGCGGAAATGGTTAATTTTTTTGAAAATTTGTTGTCTTCAAGTTTTAATTTTTTTTTCGATTTTATTGTTTTATTTCATTTTTTGTATAATTTCGGATTTGGGCGAGTTGATTTGAGTTGTTGGTTTCTCAGACTAATCAAAATATGTAGAGCATTTAAAAGTAATTAAAAATTGATCAAATTTCGTATCAATTTCTTGAAATTGAACATAAAATGCTTCCTCACTCATCTTGAGTGATTCGAGTCGAATATGAATTAATAAGCAACGAAGGAAGTTAACAGATACAAGCCCACACATTTAGTAACTGTAAGCAATTAACGTGGGCGCGTGTTTACACGCTATGAATGCTTTTAAATTAGTAGTATTTTTTAATAGCAGACTTTTTTATGATATCTTGAACGGAAATAAATAAAATATTTAAAAATATTCAGAAATATTTCATTTAAAACTGAATGAAATACTTTCCAAAATGTACTGTAATTAATTGTTGTAGAATTCTTCAATTAAGAATATATTTAAATTGTAGTATAGTTAGAATACTATAAGAATACTATATACTACATAAAATACTATAGTAGTAAGAATACTATAAGCAATATATTAAATTAATTTTTTTTTATTTTATATATTGTTGTGAATATTGAATTTAAGTTATCTTTGAAATAGTTTCTAGGAATGTCTGTAAGTTGGGAAATAAGTTTTGATATATAATTATTATTCTTTCTTCATTCGTGATTCTTCTTCTTGAGTTAGTGCTATTACGCACTTTTACTCTATAATGGCTGGGGGGCTTATCTCTACCCCACACTCGGCTTTAACTAGGCTAAGAAATCATATCATTTATATGTCTTTTAGTTGATGACGGACCTTAAATCCGCATATCTTCCTGAGAGTCCAGAAGTGAACTTGAGGATTGTTAGGGCGGGGTTAAGTAGCGTATCAACTTTAGTGAATAATTTTAGAGCTCTGTCTCTGATATATTTTTTCACTGAGTCAATCCTAAGATCTCTATGTATGTCTGTTGATCTAATATACCATGGAATCTTAAACAGTCTTCTTAAAGTCAGGTTTTGTGCTGCCTGTAATTGCTTTAAAGTAGTATTTGAGGCTTTGCTATATGTAACACATCCGTACAGTAGTGCTAGTCTAATTACTTGCGTATAAAGTAACTTTCTGTTTTTAAAGTTGAAGTGATAATTTTCCGTCTGTATTTCAAATGTTTAAGCCAATTGAACCGTTTGTCAAAAGTGACCCCCAGATATTTTATGTTATCCTCCCACCGTATTTCCGTGTCACAAACGCTCACTCTTGGGGGATGCTGTCTTCTTTTTCGAGTTATAAATATAGCCTTGGTTTTGTCATTATTAATTTTAATCTTCATTTTTTGGAAGTATTCCACCATAAGGTCTATATTTCCCTGTAAAGTGTTGCTTATTATTAGAGAACATTGTGTGTTTGCGTTTCACAAAACTAAAAGCAATAAAAACGATTATATAAAACTGAGTGGACTATTTTATTACTTATCGGGATCCAGGGATCGCGAACGTCTACGTGAGAAAGTACGGAACAATATATTAAAATTAATGAAATTTGTACTAATAGTACAATGGTAGTATAGTATTAGTGCAATTATTTTATTTTTAAGTAAAATAACACTTGTAAACAAGGTTTTACAAAGAAATTTGTAAATTTGAATAATTATATATTTAAAGTTTGTAGTTATAGCAATTTTGCCGCTACCAGAGGTTTCAACTAATCTTCTTAGTACTTATATATGTTATTATATATAGTACACTTTTTTTCACTTCAATATATTATTATTTTTTATTTTTTGTTTAAATCAATAACCTTTTATTGCATTGGGAATAGTTTAATGCAATTAGTGAAGTTGTAATAATTGCATGTGCTTGTCATTAAATATTAAAATTAGCCATGAAGTGAGTTTAGTAATTTTAACTTAACTCGAATAATTAACAAACAATTATTTAAAATTAATGATTTAATTAAATTGTAATAGTTATGTTTTAAATCTGAAATATAAATTGTAAGAAAAATTTCCATAAATGAATAAAATCGCTTTATATTGATTACATCTACATAGTAAATTTAATTTTTTTAGTTGATAATGACAAGGATTCCTTTGAGAACTAACTTTTTATACTCTTTACATAAAAAATTGAAAAAAGGTGCATAATGTTAGGTTTGTCATGATTTTTTTGTTACGCATTGAAGGAATAGTTGTAGAGTCCATAAAGTATATATGTGTATTCTTGAACACCTCGACAAGTTGAATTTATTTAACTCTTTCTGTCGTCCGTTCGTTTCACCCAAGAACACACTTTTTTAGTTTTTGAGGTATTCGAGTGAAACTTTGAATACCTACTCTTCGAAAGCATCCTACATTCTATAGCTACCACATAAAGCTGCTATATACATATAAACATATAAATATGAAACTACTTATTTTGTTTTCAAATAACATATAAAAGAAACAATATATATTCGTTAAAAATTTTCAAAACTTTGTGTAAAGGGTATTGGCTTTATTTGTTTCATTTCTTTGTTCTACAGTGAAGTCTAACGTTGACAGTAGTAGAGTTACTATTTAAATCTGAGATTTAAATTTTAAAGGAAAGCCGTAAAAAAGAAAAAAATTCCCTTTACCTTGCATACATCTACATATTTAAAATAATATTAATGATAAAATTTCTTTGAGGATAAGTCCAGAAGTGACATGGCATCAACTATCGTTTCCTGTCAACTCATAATTTTATAATTTATCATATGTCTCTTTTCAAATGTTTTTAACGCTTATTGTAAAGTGGACTTCAAGACAGTTCTAGTGATAATGCTAAGGTTTTCATAATATGTTGACTATCGAGCTACTTTTAGAATTCTGGTGTTGAAGGGTTGTCGATTTCAAAGCGTTTTCTCTATTTTATCACTAACCATTTGCTTTTATCTCTTTCTTGCGGCAATTTATTCCTATCTTCTGGAATATACTTCAAATTCCTTCGAAGCTAGTTTACAATTAACAAGTAAAGAAATTGTACAGTGTTATCCATAATTATGAAATAACTTATAGCTGGATCCTATAAGTTAACGTGGCATAATCTAGATGAATTATTATAATCCTTATAATGTTATCACGTACATTATAATCAATAAATTAAACTATGTTTATATCAAGATCATTTTCTTTATTGTAGTTGTTAGTATATGAATTTTTAATAGTTTATTCTTAGAACTCTTGATTGTTTATTCTCTCTGGATAGTGAGTATAGTAACGCAACTTTCATATATTTCTTTTGGTTCATTCGAAAGTTCACTCTATGTCCACCAAAGTTTCACGTACAGTCAGTATAAAAATTCTAAATATTCTGATCGCTAGTGACAGAAATTACACTTATAGATAGCTGAAATTATTCCTACGATCAATGTACCATAGTATTAAACTGATGCGAAGGATATATTTGGATAGGTTGAGCTTTATTCGTATTGTTTTAAGGTTAACTACTATGACCAATGCACCAAGTGATCTATTTGAGAGTGTATGGTAATTACTCTGAGTGACAGTAACAAATTTTTTCTGTAAAGTCCTGATTCCTGAAGTTGATTTATACGAATATTCAACCATTATTAAACATATATTAAGCTAAAAACCCAGGTGGTTAATAATGGACTACATGTTGTTGATTTTGGTTGTTAGTAAGCAGCTATCTTTATAAAAGTCTAAATGTTTAAGTTGAGTTGTAGGAGTTCTAAACCATTGCAAATGTTCTCAGGTCCGTTATTATGGACTGTATGTGATTGACTGTGGTTGACAGTATCCAGATAATTTTTGCTAATTCGTAATCCTCGAGCAGATTTTTAAGAATACTAAGATATTGAAAAATCGTCCAGGTAGTTTATTTTGAAATGCATGCAGTTAATTGTATGACAGTAGGTAAACATCTATCGCAGAGTTTTTAAAACTACGTTTACTTTTTGAGAATGTTTAATACAGTTTTTAAAATAAATATGAAATATTTTTATTTTTCGACTTATATATTGCGTATTTCAGTGTACTCTTGTTGGTCTGTTATGAGTTAGTTGATTGCATCTAGACCAAACTATTTTAGGTAAAAAATATATAAGTCATCAATATTAAAATATATTTAAAGAGTCAAAAATTTGAATGTAAATTACTTCCATAAATGACTTTGCTTGTTTTTTGACTAAAAGTTTGTTCCTGGTAAACTTTTCTTTACTACTCTGTATATCGGTTAACATTTAAAATATTATTCAGGTTGCTGTCGTATGATATTTTTTTTAAATCAAATTACTTATAGTTTTTTTAGCAATGAACCTTTGCTTCCATATTTGTTTTCAATTATTTTATATATATATATGATTATCAAGTTAATATTTAAAATATTATTCCGACTCCTATCGTATGATATTTCTTGTTTGAAATTATATATCTCAGTCTTTATATGTAAAATAATTGAAATAAACTATGTAAGCAAATTCTATTTAATATACTTCACATCAAAAGTAATGAACTTTACCCTAATTGAAGTAGAGACGCTTGAGTTGGTCAGTACATAGTATAGTCATTAAAAGCTTAATGTGACTTATAGCAAGATATATACATTAGCAAAGTTCCCTGTGATATGAAGTTACATATTTTAACATATATTATGGCATAT